CGGCCGGGCCAGCAGTCTGCTCCAGAGGTGGAGTTTCCTTCCTGCAAAGCAGACCGGGACCCAAGTGTAGCCTGACCCACCTTCCCACTGACATCTAAATTGTAACATGGTTTGCTGCAACTATTCCCCCTCTTCCCCCCCAGTCTTATTTTTTGTGTGCCTTTGTTGCTTTTTTTGTTCTTGCTCATACATTTGCGTTTTAGTTTGTACTAAGGTGATTGAACTTTACCTTGACTTTGCTGCTGCTAGCAAGAGGAGAAATCTCAAAGATAATAATTATGGGTTTATGAATGCACATACAAACCTGTTCTTCCTTGCTCCGGCCTGGTTCTAGCCTAGTTATTCAGTTACAGGTTTGTTTCACTGTTGGCAGAGTTCAAGTAGATGTGTGATTGTGACTGTGATTGCTTCCTCAGTTTGAATGCCAGTTAAGCTTGTCTATGTATTTATTGTTGGTGGATTGTTCCTTTTTCTTCAACAAGAGGGAATTTGGTTCTGTGAATTTTTAATCTCATCACACTGTCCAGTGTATTCCTGAAAATGTGTTCAGAAAATCGGTCTGCCTCACTGGTATGTGCATGTGATACATTCTTACAGATTACTAAGAGAACTCTAATGTCATCTGGTTCAGTTGCAAGTATGTGAAACAGAAAAAAAGAAGAAAAAAAAATGTTTTCAATTGTGTTTTTATTAGATCTAGATGCTCCACTGGAGGAATGAACTTAAGTAGGCGTTGGTTGGTGTCAGATTTTCATTGATAACATCAAGTAAAAGTGTCATGGTGTCACAATATCATGGTATTACCACAAAATTAAAAGAGAAGAAGAAAAACGCGGTTTAGCTGCTGTTATTTAAAGCCAACAAAGCAATAGCTATTTCGGCTGGTTCAACAGCAAATAATCACAACTTTAAAATTGTTCTAGAGCATCCTCCTTATTTATTTTATTTCATCATATTTTTTTGTCAACTAAGTTGGCTTGGACTGACGTGGAAACACAAACTGAATTATTTGCACATCACTTCATTCAGTATCAGCATTTGTTTTTCTTCCTGTTGAACATGTCGCTGTCTAAAACTTACTTCTTGTTTTTTTTTAAATATACCAGGTTAGATTTGTAGCCAAATGAGACTTTATAGATCAGATTAACTGGATTTGATTCAAACTGGCATTTCTCACTCGGTTATTGGTAGACTTCTCGAGTCACGTTTGCCTCTCCAAGCCCATCGCTGCCCAGCTGAAACCCCATCCAGGCTGGACTCCGGCCCTCGATATCGCTAGCTCCGATGCAGCCAGCGATGCAGAAACAGTGTCATCTATTAGGAGAAAAGAGACAATCGCTTTGGTTGGAGCAGGAAGCTACAGCTAAACTAGCCAAACACGCAGAGGTGTGGGGAAGGGAGGACTGAGGAGGCCAGAGAAATGTTCAGCTCCGCCCAGGGAGAAAAATATGATCAAGAGGTTAAGAGAAGACATCGCCATAAGAAGTTAGACACTAATATTACAGGTAGCAGAGTTGTATGGATAATGATTAAAGAGAATGTGTGTCCTTTTGTCTCTGACCTGTCAGCTCTGAAGGCACGCTAGCAGTGCAGTACGGTGCATTTAAAGATGCAAAGTAACACTGCTGAATTATTGAACAGCAATGAATGGATGCGACGCAGGCGAGCGTACTTACAGGCAGCAGAGACGCCAGGAGAATGCGACGGAGAGAATCTCTGCACCTCGTGCAACAACAGAGTCGCAAATAGCGTGGGAGAAGCAATCAATATGCAGTTTTTGCTAGCGACTACAAATGAATAAAAACAACCCAGTAATTAAATTAGAATTTAACTAAGATATTAATACACCTGTAATTACTGTGAAACTTCCTCAATTTAGTTAATTTACATAAGCTAAAGAGTTGTGATTTCAAATGTTGCAAAAATAGCTTTTGTTTCTCCGAGTTGATTTCAAGTTTGCAGTCAACATCGAGGTCAACGCAAACTCTTCTTCATGCAGCAAACAACAGTGTTATAAATACTATAAATATTTAAAGTCTTTCGTGTTTAATGTTGGCTCGGTGAACCATTATGTACCGCTAGGCTTCAAGAAAGAACCTCCCGCCCCTTTCTTAATTTGCTGCTTGCTGAGGACCACAAACTAAGACACTGATGACTAAAAATATTTAGTCAACAAAGTATTTAAAATCAACCTATTTCTATAAATGAACAGCGCGAGGTTAGAAGAATCTCAAAAATGCATTTGGTATTGGATATCTGTGATATGTGGAGCACAGTGGTGGTAGTATTATGCCTTGCCCGTCCTTCGCTGCGAGATCTGCATCAGAACATCTGCTCGTCAATTGCATCAGCAAATTCAAGTGGGCAGACATGTAGGGACGTCTGTCTGACAGCGAAATCCCCGCAGAAAGTAGGTCACACAGTGAGACAGCCACAGCGTTTGCTGTAATGGGGGCTTAAAATGGAATCATTGTGAAGGTACAAGACGTCTCGGGCAGGGAGAATTATTTTAGAAGGACTTGTAATTACCAGAGTGTAAACGTGCCAACAGCTTTAGGGCTGATGTTGTTCTGCACCAGCTCTTTCAAGCTCAATTGCATTTGATGTCTAATATTATTGTAACTTATCCCCAAATTCACCTAAATGGAATCTCTGACACCATGAAGTAGACCAGACGATCTCAAAAGGTAGATGCATCAAGCTCTGACGCAAAGACATTCAAGAACGCATCAGAAACAAATTCATTCTCAAGTCTTTGGACTGAAGCACAGCTGGAGGAAATTATCAACAAATGGGGAGAAAGCAGCTGAACCGTCTAATGAAGTTGACCTAGTAATGCCCTATTCAAAGTGGATGGAGACTTAAATTTGATTGATTTAAGTGGCACGACCTTAAGCAGGTCGTTCAGGGTTGAAAACTCTCCAGCAGTTCCTCTCCAGCAGAGAGGAGTGGGCCACAATTCTACCACAGTGATGGAGACGAGTCGCTGCTAGTTACTGCAAAATCGCTTATTAGATTTGGTGGAGCAAAGACGTTTTAACATCGGGCCACGTTGGAGCGGATAGTCCTTTAAATACGCATTTAACATCTGTATTTTATATTAGCTCGTCTTATCTTTGTCTCAAGTTAAAATGAGTTTGATCTGAAACATTTGTCTGGAAAAAAATTCTAAAAGCGGAGATATTCAGGGAGGCAAACTTTGACACTATATTTTCTACGAAAATATAAAGTTGATTTACTGCTAAATTTAGGCATGTTGCCTTTTTCCCCCCCCCCTGTTTCAATCTGTCTCACCCATTTTCAGGATCATCAAAGATTTGTTGCCCTGCAAACACAGGGGCAGGCCGTTTCTTGTCTCCTCGGCTTCTGAATAACACCAAATAAGCATCCTGCTGCCTCTGTTGTAAAACATCACACAGTTTCTCTACACAGACAACTGGAGTGTGACTGGGGGAAGTTTAATTTGACTCCTCTTTGGACCCGAGTGTGAATTGTGTCTGGATTTCTTTTTACGTTTTACGCCCTGATTGCTCCCCGGGTCTTCGGGTGTTGGTTTGACATTCCCTGAGCACTCCCTTCAGCTGTCACCACTTAACAAGTCCCCGAGGGGAGCGAGAACAACAAAACATGGGAAAAATGGGAAAAATGCGTGACTCCTCCTTCTTCTTCTTCATGTCCTCGTCCCTGCTGTCCGGCCCCACCCTTTCAGCTGAGGTTACTACAAGACCAGATACTGGCCCCAAATTGGAAGAATCAGGCAGGCTGTGTGGCTTTTGAAGCTCGGCAAACCGTTTTGTAAATGTGTTATTTGCTTAAAACCAGCATGTGGTAGTGGGGGGCGGGAGGGAAGCAGAGCGTGTGGTTGTTGTGTAGCAGAATATTTAGTTCACTGTTTTTTGTTTTGTTTTTTTTTTGCAGGTGGCTACAGACGGTATGTTTACCTTCTGCCTGGAGAGATCCAGGCGAGGTAGAGGTCAGCGAGGCTGTCTGTGCTGTTTTAACCCAAAACACAAGCATAGTGTGGCTGTTTATTCCCACGTCTGCCCGTTCTGAAGCCAGCCATGCAGACATCCATGTGAACAGTCATTCTAAGCTGCATTAGTTGAAATAACAGAATTATGTCTGCTTGGAGCAGAAGAATAGAAGCTCAGAACAAAGATCTGCTCATCTGATAACTATAACTGTATGTTGGTGGGAACAAACCCAGTGCACTCCTCAGAAATCAGACGTTTAGGTTCCAAAAGTACAAAACCAGAGGGTAGGACAGTTGAAACGTGGTGAAATTACATCAGAATAGCGTCAGAAAATGTATTTAGTAAAGAGATCCAGTTCTCAAAAAGCAAACCTCTGATGCTATGTAGGTTCCTTACGCACAGATTAAATCAGGTAATAAAGGCTTGCAGTTAATGACAACCCATGATTCAGTTCCTCCATATCTTTATGACCATCATTCAGATCACTGACTTGACCGTAAGAAGTGATTGATATCGTGCTTCTTATCAATGCTTCAGAAGCTGGCTGTTCAGTGCGCTGTGTGGGAGCATGTTATCGGAAAGTTGAATGGAAGAAAAAAGTGAGGTAGAGATAATGGTGCGCAATCAACATGGATAACTGGAGGCTTAGGAGGGTTGTAAATATTTAAGGATTTGGGGGAGAGTCACAAGTCTGGGCTGTGGTTGGAGTCACTGATTCAGTCATTTATGCAAAAAGAGCCTCTGGACAATGTAGTGAGTAAATATCTTATACAATACATGGGGATACTTTATAGTTGGCTGACAGTTCTGTATTAAATATTTGTTTTTATTGGACCTATGCACAATTTTTGAGAAAATTAGGTTTTTTTTTGTTGTTTTTTTATTAGCTGTAAACCAAAGCCATAAAAATGAACCGGAATAAAAAAAAAAAATCAATAATATCGACTTGCTGAAAAAACTAAACATTCTGACGTTGTAATTTATTGAGAATCATCTGCGATGTCAACTGGATTTAAATAATCATGTCGTCTGTTTTGTCCTCTCCTCTCTCTCTCTTTCTCTCTCTGTCTCTCTCTCATGCAGTCATACTTTGTCACCGACTATGATCCTACGATCGAAGACTCTTACACCAAGCAGTGCGTGATTGATGAAAGGCCGGCCAGGCTGGACAGTAAGTGCAGAACAAACACGGCCAGAGTAAATGCAAAGACGCACATTTTCGACCGCTTGCTCGTTTCTGTTTTGTTTTTGCCTCGTCTGATGAGGCGCTGGTTCTGAGCGGTGTATTCTGCTAATGTGTGTGCACGTGTTGCCGCTGTGCAGTCCTCGACACGGCTGGACAGGAAGAGTTCGGAGCCATGCGAGAACAATACATGAGGACAGGGGAGGGCTTCCTGCTCGTCTTCTCAGTCACTGACAGAGGAAGGTAGGTGACAGTTTTCACTTTGAGCAAGCACACGCACACTTTTTTTTTTTTTTTTTGTAAAGCGCTGTGTGCTTTTCACATCTGCACACTCTTTCCACTACAAGAACCATGAATTTGGCATCGACACCAACTTTTGCTGCTCCGGCTTCCGGACCTCGCTGTTGTTCTTGTTGTCATTCGCTTTTGTTCTCGACACTTCCTGTCCTCGCCCTGCTCTCGTTTAATTCACCTACACACTTACCTTAGACTTCTATTAAAAGCCTACCTACTGCTTAAACAATAGCATGTGTGCGCAGATGCATGGAAACAAATTCAGGTACAGGGAAAGACTCGGGAGTCAGTTTGCTCTTTGTTTTCTTTTTTTGCACCCTCATAAAGTTGTGGAGAAAAAAAACTTAGGATTAATTATTTTACTGCTAAAAATTTAACTTGAATACATTTACTTGAAGGGAGAGTCACATCAGAATTGTTTTATTGTATTTTTACCAAATCAAATCAAGTCAGATTTTATTTTTACTAAATATAACACAGAAAAAAAGGAAGTCAGAATCCTTATTAGGTCCTTATTATATTTGTTAATGATGGGGATTTTCTTTTCCTGTAAATAATTATAATCAAATTAAATCTTGTAGTTCTCTTGATGGTTCTGTTGGACCTGACTCCACTTCAATAAAACATAAACATACATTTAGGCTTCTTGCACGTTTATCGTACCAGGGGTCCTAATAAATTTGGCCGGCGCTGTATGCACTCAAAACATGCGTGTGTGTGTATACTGACAACACTGTCAGGCACAAACGGTCCCCTTAAAAGCCTCACGCGGTTGTTGCTAAACTTTGTTTCAGGCGCCTTCATTTTAAGCTGCTTTGAAATCAGGTCGCCGAAGATACAAAGCGCATCATATTGAAACCGTCATTCTCACCCCCTGCCTGGTTTGGCAAGGAGCAGGTGGGTTTGAAACGAAAGCATAACTTATTCCACCTGCTGCTTTGTTGCAAATGTGACAGCTGTGACACCGATGCGTGTGTTTACGCTGCCACCGCACGAGCTCGGGCAGCATTAATGAGGCGAAAGGAGGAAACAGGCTGCAAAACGCACACGGCCAAACTGTTTTCAGGTGAATCCTTCATGCACGACATGCTCTGTTTAGAGGGGCTTTAATTACTGTCTAGACTAGATCAGGTAAAAAAAAAAAAAAGAAGAAAAAAAAAAAGAAGAGTTTCTACTTGTTCAGGATTTGGATTTAAATTTTTTCTTTTTCATTTCTTTCTTTTATTTTCTCGCTGCCCATCCCTTGTGTCATGTCTGCTGCACAGCAGCACAGTAAGCTGCATTCCCTTGTTCCCACCCTAAGCCCCCTCCCAATGTTTATGTTGTAAACAGTCTTTCCTTCCTCCATTTATATTAGTCAAGTCTTACCAGATTTACTATGTGCTCAACACGACTGGAATGCCGTCTCGGCTTTGTGGTTACATTCTGCCTCTTTGCTCTTCTTTTTCTTTTTTTTCTTTTTTTTTCCCCTCCCAGACTGACATTTTTATTTGCTGTAAAGTTGAAAGCCTGCCATCACATGCCATCTGTATTATAGTGGGGCAACAGTCGGGTCAGGCAGAGGGAGGCAGAGCCTCGGATAAAAATATTTTGCGCTGCTGTAATAGTCAGGCAGACTCCCCCCCCCCGTCTCAACTGGCATGTTTATCCCTGCAGAGATAACCCCACACTCATGTTCGACGGTTTTGTTCGTGTGTCTACATGTGTGTGGGTGGGGATGCTTCTTTTCTTTTTTTCTTTTTTTTTAATTGTTGCATTGTTAGGAGATGAATGTATGCCTTTTTACACACATGTAACGGTCCTCGCCATCTGATTTGCAGCTTTGAAGAAATCTACAAATTCCAAAGACAGATTCTGCGAGTCAAAGACAGAGATGAATTCCCCATGATCCTCGTAGGCAACAAGGCAGATCTGGAGCTGCAGAGACAAGTAAGTCCAACAGGTTGGAGAGATCTGAACCCGCCTACGGACGAAACACACACGTGCTTTTTATCATCCGAGGAGATGCGGCTTGAGGGATTCGGATTTGCAGGCTTTCGAGCATGAGTGTTGCAGCTGCAAGCTTGGTTTAGAGATGCAACAGGATGTTGAGAGATTCTGTTGACACTCTAGTGTCAGGAAGGGAGGACTGATGAAGAAGGGGGTGTGATGAAATGATGAATCTTCTCCCTTTTGGTATTCTGCCAATCATCATCTCTTCTGGTGAATCCACACCACCCCCTATTGGTTAAAAAGAGCGTGGCTGCCAGACTTTTATCCATTTCTAAATACTGGAACTGCACCAATCAGCAGGCAGGAGAGAAAATTAAGGCAATTTTCCCTCGATCTGCGCTGATTGCTAATCCCTATTCAGTAAATTTATGAACACTAAGAAATACCACCCTGCATAAACCTAAAGCTTATTCTTTATTGCATTTATTTTGTGTTAATTTTTTTGTAAAACTAAATAAAACCTAGGTATATGATTTGACGCATAAATGTGGATAATACTGTAGTTGCTTCATTTGCAGTTTGAATTCATACCCACCTACTGCCATCTTATAACCTGCGTCCCATTTTTCTATTTATATAATACACATTTGTAATAAAAAACTCACATAAATATCTGTTTTTCGGACATTACAATATAAAGGTGGCTCTAAAGAATGCTCACATACAAGTTAGTCAAGTTAACAATTGGCAACACTAACTAAAATCAGCTTTTTATTCACATTTGTAGATGTTTTGTTGAACTATTTGGTTGTCTGAGGAGTCTGTAATATTTATTTTGAGGATTTCTGGGCTGTTTTTTTGACGATTCAATCTTCTGTGCTATCTCTCACCCCAGGTAACCCAGGAAGAGGGCCAGCAGCTGGCCAGACAGCTAAAAGTCACATATATGGAGGCTTCAGCTAAAATCCGTATGAACGTAGACCAGGCTTTTCACGAGCTGGTTAGGGTAATCAGGTAAGTTGACACTTCTTCTTCCAGTACTATTGATGCAGAGGTCAGTGGAGGTTTAGTTCACGGTCCTCTAGAGGTCAGTCAAAATTTACAGACTCTCCAAGCTCATTTATACCCTTTGTAAAGGCCTACATAAAGGACGAAAATTAATCCTTGACTGTAAAATCTACGAAAAATCCAACCTTAACATTTTTCATTCATACTTCATCTCAGGCACCTTATGGTGGAAAGTCTTTGATGCTTTTTGAACAACCAGGAAATATTCAATAAAAACCAGCAGATCAGCTTTTTTATCAGCTCTTTCAGCTGAATAGTTGTGTAAAACAAGTGACCAAAACTTGGTCACAACATCAACCAAATCCTGAAATTTATCCAACCATACGGCCTCTGAGTGTCCACACCTGATG